GTCCCCTCTCAACGATCAGGTACTAAAAATGCTATTTTTAATTGTAAAGCAGGCACCAACATTTGGTGTTGTGGTCTACAAAATTTAAACGCAACCTTGAGAATTTTGAGATAAGACAGATTGTACATCTTATCTCTGGGCTTTGGGGGACTGAGGGAATTTTATATGCTGTCCTGTGAAAACCTTGAGGACAATTTTTTAAGCGACCAAGTGCTGGCTGCACCCTGAGTGGCCCCAGGATGGAGTGAGGTGTTTGCCTCTATTCTGGCTAGTGGGATACTGGATTTCAAGAACCAGTTCTAGGGTATAGATCCTAGCAGCCTGGTGGTGGTCTAGGGGGACACTTCTGATGACATCATAGTTTTCTGTCCTTGTGATGGGCAGGCTTCTGGTAGCTTCCTCATTTGAGAAAGTGGGAAGGCAGGGTCTCTGCTATACTCCACAGACCCAGTGAGGTGGGACTAAAGGGCCCCATCGGGATGTTGAAGTTGGTTTGATGTCATTCATGAAGGTTCGTTGGCTTCTGTAACCTATAATGCTTTACCTGGTATGAATGAGTCTGGGGAGTACCAAGGTTATTCTCTCACCCTTCCCTCCTTTTCGTCCTGGTTTGCTTTTTAGACCACACCTTCCTTGTCCTCCTGTAAATGCCTTCCTGATTCCAGGCACTGGCTGACAAACACCGTTCTAACGTCTCTGAGGATGGCGGGATGTCTGTGTGCTGTCTTTCTCTACTTCAGGTTCTGAGTGATTCCTTGGACAAGTCAGCCAATCGATCTATTAGCACGGTTGATGAGGAACTTGGCTCTTCATCCTTTGGTCCTTCCTTGGAGACCACTGGATACACCTCTAAATTAGAAAGGAATGGGGCATTGAGTAGACCTCAGTGGGACAGAAGTCACTGACTGACTTCCTGATAGGGAGTCATGTAGTAAGGAGCTGTGGGCAGACCTGCTTTTCATCCCGCCAGGTTCCCGCACAGCTAGCTTAGCCCCAGAAATAACAACATGCAAATTGTATTCATTTAAACACTGCCTGGCCCATTATCTCTAGAGAGTTAGTTACTGGCTAACTCTCACATCTTGATTAACCCATTTCTAATAATCTGTGTAGCACCACGAGGTGGTGGCTTACCGGAAAAGATTCAGCATGTCTGACCTGATGGCTGGCTTCATGGCATCTACCTCATTTCCCTTCTTCCCAGCATTGTGTTCTGTTTACTCCGCCTACCTTATTTTCTGTCCTATCAAAGGGCCAAGGCAGTCTCTTTATTAACCAATGAGAAAAACACATAGAAGGCCCACCTACATCAGAGTCAGATCTTACAAATTTCACCAACAGTTTGTTTAAGTAGGTGTGTGTGTGTGTGTGTGTGTGTGTGTGTGTGTGTGAATGCAATGGACAGGGACTCCCACTGCATCAGGAGCATTCAGGAGGTGCTATGGTCTTCTCCCAGAGTGGCTGCTGTATTTGTACCCATGTGGTTACAGGTATGTGCACAGTGTAGTCCCTGGGAACTTCTGAGTATGTGCTACAGGACAGTGAGCTAGGACTACAGATCCAACAGCAGGGCTCAGTTCATGCTCAGTGCCTGTTGCCATCCAGCTCCGCAATGTTCCACTGACCTTTGCCTCTCAGTTTCTTTGTTTGTTATTGGTGGTTATTGGAAGGATGTGTTCTCATAGCTCCACTCCAAAAATAAAGAAATTAAGAGTCCTTCTTTTTAACTATTAAATAGTTGATCTTATTTAAGTATCACTCCAAACTCATTTAGTAAATAATTAAAACTATCAAGGTTATTTATTGGAGAGGACCCTGGCATTAAAGAGACTTTCAAGTATGTACAATCAGGTGCTGCATCACAGTGGGCTGTGTATACAATCAAGGCCCTGGAGATTAGGTCACTTAGTGATGCCATGGCCACATTAGTGAGCATATAACATTGCACACAATGGAATCACCTGCATTTTCTAGGGTGTGTTTCTGTTGTTAATGACATACGACTGAGTTGTAAACACTAGTTACGTTGAAGAACTTTGTGAATCTGTTCAGAGATAGTTCAGGAGTCTGTGTGTCCGAATTCACCTAAGAAGAATGACTTCATGATGGATAGAAGCTGGTGAGGCAAATGCTGTAGTCAAAGCTATCCCAGCGCCCACTCTAGAACCCAGGCTGACCTTCAGTTCACTTCAGCCTCCCATGCGCTGGGCTTACAGACATAAGCTCTATACCCGGCTGTTATATTCAGTCTCAATAAACAAGAAACTGATGTAGTCAGAGAGTCCCCCAGATGTAGTAGATTTGATATAGACCCTGAGTCTAGCGTCTGGGTAAGCCTGATTAAAAACCTATCACATTTAACTAGCATAGAATTATACCCAGGCAAAGCAGCAAGTGGAATTTTTGCCCTTTTTCCCCCATGGTGTAAAGAAAAATTTGAGTCTTTAGACAACTTCAGAAATGGGCTGATTTGCAAAGTTGGTGACACAAATCAGGAGGGACAGCCCTGTACTACCTGACCTTCTGGTCTACAGCCAGGTGGGTTCATTCTCTGTCTGCCGGGGGACAGAGTGCGGCTGTCACAGGTCTTCTGTGACCCAGCAGCTCTGACTGTGACTTACCTGGTTCGGTTGTGCTAAGACTGATGGGTGAATATGTCCTGCCAATTCTGAAATGAATTTGCTCGCTCTGCCCTGGTGGGTGGGAGCCTGACTGTTCTCGGCAGTTGTGACTTCTTGATTTTGAGATAAAAGGTCTACAGAATTTATTAGAAAAATTCAGAGGGCTTTTGTAAGCCGATCGCACACAGTGCAGAGAGAAAAACTTAAATAATTTAATTGCAAATGAATTCTGACCGTACGGAATGTCTTCCTGATGCTTTAAGACTGGCTCCCCAGATGATCTGGGAAAGAGAGCTGGCAGCATACAGAATCCAGAACACTAAAGAAAAGAAAGTTCCAGAGTGCTTGAAAATCAAAGCCTTGAGAGAGAAGTGGCTGTGTTTGGAGGGGTGGGCGCTCTATTTTGTGACTTTCACCCACACTCCTGTTGTCCTGGGAATAACTTCTGGCCAAACTCTCTCTTTTCTACTCTTCTCTTCTCTGAAGGGAGATTGCATTTGATTTGTGTAGAGTCAACTGGCTGGGCATAGTATGCCCACTCCTCGGGGAGCCTGTCTAGACTCAAACTCTTGCTTCACACTTGAGAGTAGTAGAGTGGGAGAGTGTATGGAGTGAGCCATGAGTTTAAACAGATAGAGCACTCAGGATTAGAATTGGGGAATTCACATCTCCAGGTGACACTAAGTAGTCCTGTGACTTTATCTCTTTGTCCTTGGATATGAATATCTTCCATCCTGACCCTGAGGCGCTATGTGGCCAACCAGGATGCAGATGGGAGAGGTTGTTGCTGACTTTAAAGTTCTATCTAACATAGTTTGTCGTGTTGGGTTATCAGTTGTTCTTTGGGCCTGGCCACATTCTAAGGCCCCTGTAGGAGGATTGGCGATGCTGGTGGCAGGAGCTGCACAGTACATCAGGACAGCTGCTATCTCTGCCACGGGGTTATGTGGTTAATGTTTGATAGCCACTACCATACAGTGGAGCTCCAGGATGCACACCACAGCCAACAAACTTGTGTGGTCTTGACGAAGCTCCCTGCTCTGGGAACTCCATTCTCTCCCGTTTGTTGATCCTATCACTCCAGAATTCAGGGGTCTTTGGCTCATCAGTGCTCGGTGTTGTGCTAATGAGTGCAGGGGTTTCCGAATGAGAATCTATTCAGGGCTAAAATACAAGTGCAGGCTGGGAGTGTAGGACCTACGCAGCAGAAAGTGCTCTCTCCTGGGCTCACTGGATCATTCTGTTGAATTACAAAAAGTTTAACCTTTTGTATATTGGGGAAAACTTCTGTTACAACTTATATGCCATTCTAAGATGCCTTTAAGGAAAGGTATCCAGTGGCTTGTTAAGCTGCTCCAGGCACCCACAAAGGCATGGTCCTTTGCTTAGATGGGTAACATTGGAGATGGCCATTTCAGAGTAGCTGCCAGACATGGCTGCTCACGTGTGTGGATGAAGGTCACACTAATCATGGCATGAGTTCTCAGATCGCATCTGAGCTTGGAGTTTCTAGTCTAATAGAATTCGTGTAAATCGGTGCCGGAGCTAATGCAGATGACGAAGAAAGGATGCTTGGGAGTAATTGTCTTATACGATTAGAGAGGTGCTTTTTTGCTTAGGAGCATCTACAAATGAGGGCCTGAAGGTAATTCACTGTTAGAAGTGGACAAACATTGTGGTCACATGATCCACAAACCCTGGTTCCTCAACACATCAGTTCTTAATGCAGATACAAAGCTCCAAACACTGGCTGGTGTGCCCAGGACACACTACTTTGAGAAAGTTAACAATGGGAACATTTCATGTCAGTTCAAAATTTTCGGAAGCTGGTTTGTTAATAAGAAAGCCAGAGACCCTGGGGATACCCGCAATGGTGGGGCATAGCCAAGATTTGTCATGGGGCAGGGCTTACACGAGGGTAGGACTAGAGACTCAGGTGAAATCAGTTAGTCATTTGTTAAAGCAAGGAAAGTCGTCTTTTCAACATGGCAGAGCAAAAGCCTCCTTTAGGCCAGTTACAAATAGCAGCTAATTAAGAACTCTCCACTATATTTTAATATCTACCGTTAGCTCTCACCGATGAGTATATAGCCTATCTGGCTGTAAGGGGGTGAAAGAAAGTAGATGAAAAAGGACATTATAAAGCCTCCAAGATCTGTGGCTGGCAGCCCCACCACATGGAATGTTTTCATTTTAACTTCAGGAGACCTCTTGGCAGGAAACAGAAGCCTGTGAACTTAACAGAACAGGTCACCCAAAATGAGTGTGCTAAGCTCAGCTATTAATTGATAGATTCAATGTGTGCAGAGATTTCACATACATGATGTAAACCCCATGTGGTACATCATCTAATTATTTCTATGTCATGTCCTTTTTAAGAAAAGGAAGTGCCCAACAAGCCCGTGCGCATGCGTGTCCGAGCCTCAGACGACAGGCTATCCGTTGCATGGAAGGCGCCACGCCTGTCTGGAGCCAAGAGTCCACGCAGATCTCGGGGTTTTCTTCTGGGCTATGGGGAAAGTGGCCGGAAGATGAATTATGTCCCACTGACCAGAGATGAGAGATCGCATGAAATTAAAAAGCTCGGTGAGTTTGAAATTCCAATGCTTCCATCTCCAGCATTTAGAAGCTCGTTCAAGACAGAACACTGTCTTAGTTCTCCCAGCTATGATGATTATCCACGGTGTTAGCTACTTTTTTGCTTGCTGTGACAAGATGCTCCACTAAGGAAACTCTAGGTAGCAAGGGGTTACTCTGGCTCACAGTTGACGGGATGGAACCCAACACAGAGGAGAAGGCATGGTGGCAGGAGTGTGTAGCTGGGACTTCTTGAATCATGACAGAACAAGAAGCAGAGAGAACAGGAAGTAGGAACCAGCTACAAAATGTACAAGACTCGCCTCTGGTGACATACTTCCGCCAGCAAGCCTCACCCTGTGAAGGTTCCGCCACCTTCTGAGACAGTGTCATCAACTTGGGGCCTAGTGTTGAAATTCATAAACCCATGGGGACATTTCTCATTCAAACCACATCTCTTTGCCCCATCCTGTCTTGGCCTCCGTCATATTAACCTTTATTCAGTGGAAGGACCTCTCTTCTAAGTTTTTTCGACACACAGAGGCCTTGAGCCAGGACACTTTGCTAGAGGTGAGATGTGGTGGAGAGGGAAAAATATGATCCTGATACCATCACGTTGCTCTTTGCAGCTTTTCCTTCAACTCCCGAGACCCTGAACCCTGGGTCCCACTGAGACTGAACACTAGGACAACTGAGTAGACCTGCCAGGCAGGCTTCACTCCTTTCTTCTGGGCAACAGTAGCATTAGCTGTGGAGTGCTGGTGGGGACATTTGTGGGGATCAGGAGATACTGTATGGTCCATCTTATAGGTCATTACTTTTATTAGCGAACTAGAGGGGAACACAATGTTCTGAGAAGAAGCTATAGCCCCTGAGACTGCTGCAAAATGGAGGAAGTGCCAATGCCCCTCTCCCTTATCTAATACCTGGGCTCCTTTATATACCCCGCCCATGGGAAAGCCAGGCTACAGAGACTGAAGGGGTCAGGGTGGCCCTGGCAGCACATCTGTCTTGTGCTAGAACTCTAGTTGGAAAGCCTTTTGTCTCATGGTCTTCTGCTTGCTCTTTTAGCAGTAAATAAGTATTTTGGTCTTCATGGTTCATGCCTCTTTTATTTCCTAAACAGTCAAGACTCAAGCAATGGAGAGGCTATGGCTTCCTGGGGCCCACTCAGAAGATTCTAGAAAAGCATCTGATCTCTTTACGCAAGTGTCTCTTGGGCTCTTGCAAACTTAGTGGTGTAGACAGAGAAGGGGGAGGCTTGCATCATTCAGAGGCGTGGAGGCCGGAGATGGAGAGTGGCATCGTTGGGAACAGAGGCTGTGGTGGGGAGGAGCAAACGAGGCTCCCCCGGCCTGTGCAGTCTAAGTGTAGCACAGGAAAGGGAGTACGGTGCCTCTTGCTTGGCACCTCTGTCATAAAGGGTAAGTTCTTCTGCAAGATAGGTGAGGCGCACGCAGACTATAGGAAGTGGGAGTAAAGTCATGGCATGCAGAAGAGAGACTTGTAGCCAGGCCGTGATGCACAGTGCTTTGAGCTCAGGGAACAGCTTCCTGGAGACAGAGTTCTGGGAAGGAAGACTGTGGCTTGCACTGCTGGTTTTCTCTGAGCACGCATCTACTAAGGGCACACGTAGAGACCGTTAGGACACCTAGGCAGACACTCCGACAGTTCCCCGAACCCCCAGGCCTGGCTCCCTGGATCATGCTGCAGTGTGAGCGGCTCAGATTTGGTCTGGTGAAGACCCTGGGAAGTGGCTATGCTCCTCTTCCTGAAGCATCCCAGAAGTCTCTGCTACATCAGACACGGTGTTCAGCTGCCTGCTGCACACCCCAGGAGAGTGTTTATCAAGTCCCTTGATTGGATGCTTCCAGCAGGAGACAATGGTGTGGTATTCCAGGAGACAACGGTGTGGTATTCCAAGAGACAACGGTATGGTATTCTTTGCATCCACATGGTCATCACAAGGAGGACTTTCTGAGCCACACAGAACTTCTGAGCTATCTCAAAGCCCAGCCAAAAGACACCAGCCAGCCCTCTCCTCCAGTGTCACAAGAAATGTCATGAGAGCCGAGGAAGCAGACAGAAGAATTTAGGCTGGGCATGCTCCGCGAAGAGCAGATGCAAAAAAGGAGACTTGGTGGTGTGCAACCATAGAAGAAGCTGGGATCACTCCAGTCCCTCATTCTTGAGCTATCCCTTTGCCCCTGGATGGTTCCATTCTGCATGCTGTTCAGCTCTGGCTTGCTGATACAGACCAAAGTCTACCCAGTTATCCAGCTCAAGAGTAGGGACTCTCTTTGCAGATCCAATACTGTGGGGGAGTGCTGTACCCATGGAACACTTCATGTGAACGCTCAGAGGAGTCTTGCTCATATCAGACACTAAAACACAATTTGGCATTGTCCTGTCCTTCATGGCTGCCCGGTTGGTTTTTCTTCTCCTCAGTACTACACCTCTGCTCACCTGAAGTTGATATGAACTTGTTCTTTTGCTGCCTAAACTTGAACAAGTTTGGACCTAAGGTGTATGTGACCTCTAAGCCCGGTGTGTAAACACAGGGTAGGCTCTTCCCAGCTTCTTCTACAGTATGTTAGCTCTTGAGTTGTCTTCTTGTGGACAGATTGGGCTTCTCATGGTGGGTTTGTGTGAGGAGAAGGGCCTCATACAAACAGGGCAGAGTGGGGTGAGGGTGAAGGGAATTCTCCGGGGTATGCTGTGCCCTGGTAAAGCCCATCTTTGTGATGTCTTCTGCATTGTTCACGACAGAGATGACACCATCCATGGGGCATTGCAGGAAGTGGATGCACACTGAGGAACCGTAGAGACTGACTTGAAGTCACGTCGGCAACACATCTCACCCCTAGACAATCACCAAACACATTTTATTGGTGGTCTTCTGTGTCTGGGAAATCCCTGGGAGATGTAGCGAGGCCAAAGTGATAGTCAAAGGAGGCCCCACACAGAAGGGGATGAGATAAACCCTGAGGGTGGAGCAGCCTCAGGACCACAGAAGGGAGAGGAGATGAGGTCAGGCCCTAGGCAGGAGTGGTAATTGGTAGAAGACAAGCAAGTCTGGAGACCTTTGGGAAGATGCAGACTGGAGACCCTTGGGAAGTGAAATGTGGTACTCTGTTCTCATACATCAGAGGCTGAGAAATGAGCCAGCCAAGGACTGCATTAATGGGGAGTATATGGAATGCTCTGGGTCATTGGGTGGCGATGCTGCTGTCAGTTTGGAGGTTGTATCTCCACCCAGTATTCAATAACCAAGGCATAGAGAGAAGGGTACATTTAGTGTCGGATGCTTTCTGCTCTATCTCTGTGACGGCTGCTTAGGGCTCACTCCTTCCTCAGCAGAAGTTAATAAGAGCCTGGGTCTCAAAGTCGTGTAGAACCGGTTGGAAGACCCAACTCCTCTGTGACTTTGGCAGTCACCTTACCTCTCTGAGCCTGACTTTCCTGTGAAATAAAAGGAAATTATTGGGATAAGGCATAGTGGGCACGAAGACTGGCATGTGAAATGCTTAGCATAGTTGGGGCAGGGGCAGGAGCAGGGGAGGGGAGGCTCTTAGGCCAGAGAGGGTCCTGGGGAATGAGGGCACTGTCCCATGTCCTGCTCTTTGGTCCACAGCCTCTGAGTCGGTGTATGTGGTCTCCCTGCAGTCCACCAACTCCCAGGGGCAGAGTCAGCCCGTCTATAGGGCTGCCCTCACAAAGCGCAAGAATTCAGGTACGTTTCCAAGGATGCAATTGGTGAAGCCATGATCTGGGGTGGTTGTTGTGTTCCACTTGGTGCTGGCTGTGATGGGGTGATGGGGTTGGTGACTTTCAAGGGCAATGAAGGAAACTATAGGGCAGAGTGTCAGAGGTACGAACACGTTTCTTTCATGCGTAGAGACAGGAGAATTCTTCGAATGAAGCCTGCTTCACTGAGGATTGCAGAGAGCTTAGCAGTACAGTGTTTGCAGTGTTAGAGGGAGTGAGGCATCATGCCGTGGAAAGGCCAGCCTTGCCCATCTGTTAGTTGTCCCTAGCGAGACACTGAACACAGCAGGAGGAAGCGCGGGTGCACTGGACCAGCATGGAGGCGCACACACCACCGTAGCTCACCTTATGTAGATGAAATGGCATTGAGAGTAGGATGGAAACACACCGTTGTGGTTCACTGATTTCTCAATCATTGCGCACCTATCGAAGTATATTTTTCTCACACCCATTGACAGGTATTTGTTATAGCACTCGTACTATTAGCCCGTCACACACCTTTTTGGCCATGGGCCTCAGTTAGGGTGCTCTACCTCCTTTCTGCTGCTGCGGTAAACACCATGACCAGAAGCAGCTTAGGACAGGAAAGGGTTAATGTCCTATTACCCTTTTGGGTGACAGTCATTCCTTGAGGGAAGTCAGGGCAAACACCTAAGCCAGAATTGAAGTCGAAGCCCTGGAGGAATACTGCTTCCGGCCCAGCCCCTGATCCCTGCTCAGCTAGGTTTCTTCTGCAGCCCAGGCCTGCCTCCCTGGGATGGGAACTTTGTGACTACATTTTTGATGACAAAAATAAATCCCAGCAAGAAATTGACAAACTTACCTCTATCTTATATCTGAATATAACATTTAATCTGCCTTGCAACCACATACTCCAAAATGTGAAGAACATTGATTCCCATGAAATTCATAACCATCGTTTAAAGCAGAATCTTTACTTCATGTCCCGATCTCTAAGGGATAGCAATGTGAACTCCCCCCATCCCCCACATTGCCTCATGAAAGTTTTACTAGTCTAAGAAATTTGCAGCATATCAGAGCAAGCACAGAGCTTCTTGCAGCGTTTTCTAAGAAGGTGTAGCAGCTCCTTTACGCTCCTCTGGTGCTGCTTGGCTGGTTAGCTTTTACAATGAACTATTTACTTCCTAGAGAACGGTTAAGAAAAGTGGAGATCTCCCTCATCTTAGTTGGTGTTTCTGTTGTTGTGGAGAGACACCTTGAGTACGGCAACTTGTATGAAGGGAAACACTCAGTTGGGGTGGTGGATGGCAGTTCAGAGGTTCAGCCCACTATCATCATGGTGTGACGTGGTGCTGGAGACGCAGCTGAGAGGCCTCCATCTTGCAGTCAACAGGAAGCAGGTTCAGTGTCATGCTGAGTGAAGCTGAGCAAAGAAGACCTCAAAGCCCTCACAGTGACACACTTCCTCCAACGAGGTCACACTTATGTCAACAAAGTTACACCTCCTCATAGTGGCACTTCCTTCAGGGAACATTTTCTTCCCACCTCTCTCCCCCAATACAGACAAAGTCATCTCTTAGCTTTCTGCTCATCTAGTTTGACCTGAATTAAACACAAGCAACTAAAAGTTAGGCAAGGCTCGGCCTGAGGAAGCCTGTAGAGAGCCTATGGTAAGAGGAGCCGTTTTGTGTACCCACTGTCATTCCAGAGGACAGTGAGCTGGATGTACCTGAAGATATCAGTGTCCGGGTCATGTCATCTCAGTCCGTACTCGTAGCCTGGGTGGACCCTCTTGTGGAGAAACAGAAGAGAGTTGTCGCGTCAAGGTACATACGCTTGTTTCTTATCTTCATGTATGAGGAACACAGCTTCTCTGGGCTTTAAATGCATTCAGTAATTTTCTTTTTTTAGCTTTGTAAAGATTTCCTTATTTTACTTCCTGTGCACAAATGTTTTGCTTGCATGTATGTATGCGGACTTGTGTACCATGTGCACAATTGGTGCCTACAGAGGTAAAAGAGGGCTTTGGATATCCTGCAACTGGAGTTATAGATGGTTGTGAGCCGCTATGCAGTTGCTGGGACCCAAACCTGGATCCTGTGGAAGAGCCCAGTGCTCTTAACCACAGACCCACCTCTCCATCCTGATTTCATTTTCTTGCCTGTGTGGGTGCCAACCCCTCTTTTGCTCTTGAATGTTCTAGGACTCTGTGGCAAGCTGTTCCTGCAAATCAAATAGGGCCTGGGAGTGTAATTCACAGAACAGAAATTCACATCTCTCGGGCTCCATTTTGTCTGTGTGGAAATTTCCTATGCTTGTTGTTCCCCGGCCTCAGTTTCCCTCTGTGCAGTGTTCATGGTGAGAGGAGTCTTCTTGAAGAGTGAAGGCAGGATGGATTTTTATGTAGAGTGGTAGATGTTTGTTTAATGTTGCACACGTGGCTTCTCAGTAGACATTCGCTGATCTCTGAAGCATGTCATGTCCTGCTTGCTGTGTGTAACAAAGAGCACCTTTTCTTAGCTCACGATGTTGTGCTGGTCTGTCTTTTATACCCATCTGTAGTAGCAACAGACAAAACAATTTTGTCAAGTCAGAATCATCTTTATATGAGTTTCATGGTTTTCCAAACTGCAGAGAAACTCTGCGAATATGAGTAAAAAAATTTTTCTGTGTTCTAAGACTTGATAGTTTGTACAATCAAAAAAAAAGCCAAAGATTTGTAGCCTGATTATTATGTACTGAGTTTTGAACCTGTCTACAGCAGGAAAGTGGGGCATACTTTGGAATATAAGAAATAAAGTGCTCTGATTATGAATGTGTATACACTGTGATCCGTAGGTACAGGATGGGCTTGACTGTCTGCTGGCGGAATGAGCCCTGTTGAGATGCTCAGAGGAGTCACTATGCTTCTCTGTCAGTATCCTCTCCCCCAACAGGAAGCATTCATGATTACCTCTGGGCTTTGGTTTCCCATGTCTCGTTGAAAACCAGAGGAATCTAGAACTCTCTTCAGAAGAAATGCTTTATTCATTGTTGTGCCTTGTCTTCAGCTGATGCCTTCTCCTGCCATCTACACATAACTGATAACACTTGTGTGCACACACATGCACCTGTGCATGCAGAAGCCAGAGGTCAACCTTGGTTGTTGTTCCTCAGGTGTCTTTTTATGATCTTGATAGAGACTCTCTCACTGGCCTGAAGTTTGCCAAGTAGACTAGGCTTGCTGGCCAGTAAGTCCTGGGGCAACCCCGTCTGGTATTATAAGCACGTACCCCCAGGCCTGTTTTTTTTCCCCACATGGTTTTTGTGAATCAGACTCTGGTCCTTAAACTTGCCTTGCAAACACTTTACCAACTGAACTCTCTTGATCCATGAACAGAACATTTTTAATTCCTCAAAGGCTTTGTAATGAGAAGTCATGAAGGAAAGCTCGATTAAAAGACGTCCAGTCTTTAGAGTTTGCTGCCCTGAGAGTGTCGTAGATGTGTGCTGTCTGGGCCTTTTGAGAATCAGTACATTTTGTATTTCTCCCTCTGCAGATCATACTGGACCTCTCTAAGCCACTCTGTCCTGCTCCGTTATAGATTTTTCCTCCATTTCATAGCAGGAAGTCTATTCAAGATCACATGTTCCCTGTTCTGAGTCTGTAGAACATGCCCAAATGAACATGAAATGAGGGTTTTTGTGTGTGCATGTGTGTGTGTGTGTGTGTGTGTGTGTGTGTGTGTGTGTGTGTGTATCTGGCTACCTGGAGTCAGTTCCAGTTCTTAGGACTGTCACATTCTTCAACCCATGTGCACACACACCACTGCCTGTCTCCCTTTACCCCTTCCTTTTGTCTTCTCTGTTTGGTCTTTGGAACACTGGGACATTTTCAGTCTTGGACAGCAATACACTCTGTATTCCTTGGCCTGTTTTACACTTCTTTCCAGGGACCTTGTCTGCAGATCCTGAGAGCCAATGACACAGCCAAAGCTTAGGTTTTTCTCCTCACATCTCCCTGCTCACCTTCCGAAAGTCACCAGGGATAAACAAACAACAAGGAATGTGGAATTCAGCTTCAAAGACTCTGGTCCCTACGAGGATTGTTGTCTTCTGTTTTCTTACAGACAGTACACCGTGCGCTACCGTGAGAAGGGGGAATCGGCCAGATGGGATTACAAGCAAGTGTCTAACAGGCGTGTATTGGTGGACAGCCTGATCCCAGACACGGTGTATGAATTCGCAGTCCGGATTTCACAAGGTGAACGTGATGGCAAGTGGAGCGCCTCCGTCTTCCAGAGAACGCCAGAATCCGGTTTGTGTCTGAAATGGCCTGGGCTTTCTACTGAGGACCACTGGTAACTGAGAAGTCAGGGTGATACAGGGTAGGCCGGCCATGTTTAAAGTCTCACTAACTAAAACCTTACAAGTAGAATTTGTATTAGAGCTAGAGTTTGGATTCAGAACTATTAAATTAAAAGGGAAAGAGAGAAATTGAAGAGGTTGAGGAACAGCTGTGTTGGCCCATACTTTGTACTGTGGTAGCCCGTTTCTGCCAAAATGTTCTTCTGCCATGTCAAACATACCAAGTTCCAGGGTGTAGCATACACAAGTTGCTGTTGTGGCCACGGATGTCCCTGGGTGGCCTAGCTTTTGTTATATGCTCTTCTTGAGGTTGGGGTTATATTTGAATTTAGGGAACATCTTTTCTGTAGCCGATATTACTCAATAACAGCCAGAACTACATCTTTAAAAGTTGTAGGAGGCTGGATATGGCAGCATGACTTTTATCCCAGCACTTGGGACACAAAAGTGGTGGGTCTATGTGAATCCAAGGCTAGCCTGGTCTACATATTGAGTTCCAGACCAGCAAGGGTAACATAGTGAGTCCCTGTCAGAAAGACAAAAGTTGCACCAAAAGGGTGGTAGAGATTTTGCCATCACAAATCACAGTTCTGATTCTGTGATATTGAGCCAGAAGAGAAAATTGGAATTCCTAAAAGTCTATTTCTAAACTCGCTGCATGAGTTGGAGGAAGTGACATTAAGTCACTTTCCAGAAAGCTAGTATAGACCATCGCTCGTGTGTCATCGACGTGGACACAGCATCTATTTAGTAGACAGTGTGTGAGGGCCCTGTCTCTACTTCCACCTGGAAGGTCCACGAGAGCCCTGTGACACCTTTGTTTTCTGCCGCCCTCTAGCTCCCACCACTGCCCCGGAGAACCTGAATGTCTGGCCAGTCAGCGGCAAGCCCACAGTTGTCACCGTGTCCTGGGACGCTCTGCCAGAGACCGAGGGGAAAGTGAAAGGTAGCTGTCTCCTCCTTACCCCCTAGTGTTCTTCCTGAGCAATGCTACTCTGGTGACTCGGACAAAAACTAGGCAGGTGCCATGTACAGTGAGATGCTAACCCGGGGGGTCACAGAGGCTTCCTAAGGTGCACGTGATCGCCTGCCAGTGATTCTTGTGATCTTCCTGTAGGCGGGATCCTTAGGCCAGTCACCCTGGAGACATTTTTAACAGCACTATGTGCTGTCATTACCTTTATATCCTGTGCTAAATCTAGAGCCTTCCCTTGTGCCTGTGAGATCCTGAAAGGAGAAGCTGGCAGGGGTCAGCGGGGACCATAAAGATCTTTAATGACACAGTAAATACTTTTAATGGGGCTGAAAACCTTAAGTTGTAACTTCCAGAAAGTGGATTTGTTCCCTAAATTTCAGCCTGCATTGATTTATTTGGGTCAAGGAAAGGATGGTAAAAAAAAAAATAGAGAAAAAGATTACTGGAGCTTTAAAAGGATAAAAGGAGAAAGAGGTGTGTGCAGCTGGCGAAGCTGCGAAGTAGTCTGTTGGGACTGCTCAGAAAACACAGAAGTCTCGCCAATGGAAAAGTTTCAGAAATCTGGAGACATTTTAAAGACTTGCACTGGGTTTTGCACGGCTTTGCTGACAAGTGCACCTTCACGGCAGGAAGGATGGAACCTTTAATAGAGAAAGGAATCTTTCTATTGTTATGAGGTGCTTTAGTTAGGGTTTCTGTTGCTGTGAGGAGCCACCATGACCACAGAAACTCATATAAAGGAAACCATTTAATTGGGGTGACTTACAGTTCAGGGGTTTAGTTCATTATCATCATAGTGGGACATGGTGGCATGCAGGCAGACCTGGTGCTGGAGAGGGAGCTGAGAACTTTACATTTTGCACAGGAAGTAAACTGAGACACTGGATGGTATCTTGAGCATAGAAGACCTCAAAGCCAACTCACAGTGACACATTTTCTCCAACAAGGCTACACCCATTCCAACAATGACACACCTCCTAATAGTGCCAATCCCTATGAGATTATGGGGCCAATTACATTCTAACTACCACATTAGGTTTGGGGAGGGGGCAAATTTAAGTCTGATACAAACAAAAGCTCTGAGGAGTTTGTTCAGGCTTAGAGAAACACAGAAAACCATGACCAGTCTCCTTTGAGAATTTGCTGAAAGAAACTATTGAATGGTTCATTTTTTTCCATTCAACTGTAAGATGACTTGGCTCACACGTAGTGTGACTTTATTAGAACAATGCTGTCCCAGGAAGATGATTGGCATAACATTTTCTATACTTCTTTTCTTTTCACTGTTTAGAAAGAATGGATTTTTTTTTCTTCAAAAGAAGTTTGTCCCCATGCCCCACAGGAACAAATGAGAAGAGTATATATTTAACTGGCCCCTCTAAGTCATGATTTTTATGAAAACATAAGCCCTGGCTCCCTGTGTCGAAGGACTGCGAGGCTGGAAACACCTCAAAAAAGGAAGTAAAGACAACTTTTTGGCTAATTAGATTTTCAGTTTTTGACAACAGTAGTTACTGCTCATCTAGTGAATTTATTTTCATAATACAGACTCATTCTTTTTCTGTCTCACATCTTAATGGATATCACAACCAATGCTGAAGGAAACCACAGGTCACCAAATATTGCCAGAAATGAGAGCTACTGAGTTCTTACAGATGGAAGAGATTTATGTATCTTAACCCTGTTTAGTTTCCATATGGGTATAATTGTGAGATTAAAATTCATGATAAATTGGGGATATTTTCTGTGTCTGGGAAACACAAAGCATAGTAAGAGCGTACACATTTTGACATGGCTAGGAGTTTTTCTAGATGTACCTAATCCATTAAGGACTCTAATGTAAGGTTTTGTAGGATGGGGGCTCGCCCACTTCTTGCTTTTTGTGACTACAGATGATGTGTTCCCCAGACAGACGGTGCAAAGACATTTCTAGGCGAAAATGTTCTATATTCAGTGCACTGTGAAAAGCTGAGGCCTTAGAGAAAGGGAACGATTCCCTACACTCATGTAATTGCATGTTTTTTTCTGAGGTCATGCTCATATTAGCTTGATAAGTTATTTGAATCTTAAATTCGTTGAGAGAATAGGCAAGGACACTACTTTGTTGAACATTAAAATGACACTATGAACTGTGCATTTGTCTTTATTGTTGCATATATATGTACATATTTCTAAATATATAGCTACCTGCCCAACCCATCTAATGTTATTTGTATGTACATAATTTCAGGGCTGACCGCTTGGGAGCGGTAGGAGGGGAGGAGAGGTAAAATGGTGTAATTACAGTTTAATTTCAAAAAATAAAATAAAGAAGCTTAAAATATAAATAAATAGTAACAAAATTCACATGAAATAAAAGAAACAGTTCCTTATACTGAACTGTTCGTGGCTGCTAAACTGCAAGGGCATTCTGTGCTTATAGACAAGCCAATAAAAATGGAAATGTTAGGAACCACACTGCTCTATCAGTGACTTTCCTTCGCAGTTTTAAATACTATGAAATATTCTCAGCAGCACAGAGTGAATAAGAACTTTATAGGGCATTTTTTTTTCTGAGTTAAAAAGTCACTCCACTTGGTAAATGAAATCCTATGTGAGCAGTTATTCAGAACCAGTTTCTGGAAGTCGGTACTTTTAGGGTTCCTTGGTTTCTTACACTGGGGTGTGCTGATGGCACTATAGAAAGTTTGTAAATAAACGGTGGAACCCCCAAACTAGTATACACACACACACACACACACACACACACACACACACACACATATGTATATATATGTGATCAATTGTGTAACGATAACCGCCCCAGCTCGCGTGCTTCATTTGCTTAAGCTAGCAAGTTGCCCGCCTGTGACTTCCAAGGATGCTAGCGAGTGTGAGCTTGCCTTGCACCCCACTCTTCCGCTGCAGCTGTCGACCAGGTGTTCATCGCCAGGGTGTTAGCTTCAGCCATGTGTGTTCTAACTCATTCTGCCCACACGGTCTGTCTGCTGGATGCAGGACTGTTTGCATTTTCTTCCTTCCAACCGTCTGCCAAATCATTTCAGAATACATTCTTTCATATGCCCCGGCTCTCAAACCATTTGGAGCAAAGTCCCTCACCTTCTCTGGACACACCACTTCTGCCCTGGTGGACGGTCTGCAACCTGGGGAACGCTATCTGTTCAAAATCCGGGCCACAAACAGGAGAGGCCCGGGGCCACACTCCAAAGCCTTCATTGTCACTATACCAACAAGTAAGCATTGTGTGTTCGCGCTTTTCCTCTCTCCTCTTGTTCCTGTTGTTTGTTTTGTGTACTTTGAATCATGCTTTTGGGTTTAGAAGTGCTCAGTTGATGATTTTTCAGGGTTGAGGTTGCACAGCTGTTTTTAAAGTGCTTTGTAGTCCCCTTTGAAATCAATCTTTCCAAAGACTAAAATGTTACTACTGATATTAATTTATTGACATTATTATCAATATATATTAGTATTAGTGTTTTACTTGGGGCTTATGTTGGGAGGGAAAGAACATGTTTGTAAGCTTAATTTGGCCTTTTGATTGTAAGCCTTATGCTGCATGCTTTAAATGGCTCATTTTGTCCTCTAGTATTTTCGGGTACAGCATTTCTCAGCAGAATTCCAGCTGCCTGATTTTTCTGATCAGTAATAAAACTAACAAGTTCTCAAAGATCCAGAGATGGGGTGGTCTGTTAATGGACCAGGTTTCCTTTGATGCTTCTTCTCGGCATTTATTCTGGAAACACACTGCTGTCTCCACTGTGTGCTGTGAAGGCCCATGGTTTCATGCTGGAAGACACTGGAAAAGCTGTCTGCTCCCTCTAGGGCCCCCTGTTGCTATAGAAACTCCTTCCCAATGCAACCTCCTTTCCCTCAGTCTGTTCTTCTCTCAAGACAGAAAGAACCACAGGATATGTTTAAGATACTGTTTTGTCGACTCTGGGCGCTACTCTTAGCCTTATTCTGGAGATCCAAATGTGCCCATTATGAAAGCCATGCTAAGTCAGAGAGAGAAAGCAAGTGAAAGTGTGTTGAGGGGAGATGGAAACCTTGTGGGGCTTCAGAGTGTTCAAGCTTGGAGCTCACTTGAGCCTCTTATAAGTTCCATCTGCCATTCCCCTGTAACTGAGTATAGGTTGCTTGACATTAAGAACAGCCATGCTACATTGGCATCAACCTGGTCCTTAGCTTAAGAAAGCCCTACTTAAGGCTTTGCACTTATGAAACCAGTGACTCATAGTCATGCCTCAGTGTCTGGGGTTCCAACACCCCAATCATGCCAACTCTGCAGAAGTTAAGTCCTTTTCTCTGAAACAGAAGTGTTTGCATACAACCCGCACACCCATTTTCTCATCTGCTTCAAATCACCCCAGCCTTCTTACACCATAATGTAGTGGAAACACTCTGTGGACACTATATTACTTAGGGGGAAATGAGTCTACACACGGTCAGTACAGACACATTTTCTTTTCCTTAAATGTTTTTGAGGCAAGATTGGTGGAATCTGAGTCCGCAGGCTCCACGGATGCAGAGGGCTGACTGTACATCGAAGCCCTCATTCTAGAACTTCTTCAGATGATACAGCGAGGCATGCCCTGATTCAGTCCACACTTAGGATCTAGAACTCTGTTATACAAAGCAAACTAGAGCCAGAACAGAAAGGATGCTATAGCTGGAGATGTGCATGTGCAGTGGTGTAAGGAATTAGAAGGGATCAGTTACAGTGAGACATGTGGAACTCCTCCACACTGGATGGCAGATACCCCTAAAGCTCCCCTAACACCCACCGTTTAAAAATCTGTTCCAGCCAGTTCCCCAGAGGCCAGTGCACACCAGGATGAAAGGAACATCCGGAAATCTGAGAAACCTCAGCCTTCTCCCCTTGCTCCTAAAACCGCAGCTTCTTCAGAACATGCTCCCCAAGCCAAAAATGCCAAGGATGATCTCCTTGACTTAAAGAACAAAATCCTGGCTCACGGTGTTCCACTTCGGAAAACCCAACTTCACTCTAAAATGGGGGAGCTGGATCCCCAGACCATGGACGTCAATGGTGAGGAGGAATTGGATTCCCTTGAAGATCCCCGTCCATCGCGGATGGAAACCCTAGACCAGAGGCGACCCCTGAGGGTACCAAGTAGATCTGGTCATTGGGTTCCAGCTGCTGGCAGGACTCCAGCAAGGACTGGCCTGCCAGTGCTGCCCCGCAAGGAGGGGATGGATAGGCGTGGCTCCTCACTGGTCCCCCACCCTCATCCACGGGTTGAATCTTCAGTGACGACCTCTTCTACCTACACCCAGCTCAGCTCTACAGACAATGATTCCACGAATCAAAATGAGGACGATCAAGAAGTTTCCCCTGACCCTAAAGCTGCTTCTTTCCAGACACCTAAGAATCCAGTTGGGTCCACGCCCACTGCAACCCCTCGCCACCACGTGGCTTCTAACATGCTCAGGGACAAAAGCAGGCTGCTCCCAGGGGCAAAGGCGGAGTCGTCTGCATCCAGGCATTCTCATTCTTCTACCAGTGAGGAGGATTCCAGTGTTGCAACCCAACCCCTGAATCACGGCTCCCTTCACAGAGGCTCCTCTCGACCACACTCCAGATCCCAGATTTCTAGGGGCTGGAAGGACGGCCAGGATGCCCCTGTCTCTGGCTCCCACATGCCTTCCCGCACTGCTGTGTCACCTTCCGGCTCTTCTCGCCCTTTTTCCCTGACAGAAGGCTCAGAGGAAGAAGACACTAATGATGGTGGAGGAGTTGTTGACAGAGATGCAGGGGACACCAGACGGCAGGCTGAGGTCACTGCTCAGACCCAGCAGACCCGGCCTGCCTTGGGACACTTCAGTTTGACACGGAATAAGCCCTTCTCTGCTCACAGCAGAAATCCAAACAGATTCCCCAGATTCCGGGGACTAAGACTGCAGCCCTCTGGGTCGCCTCAGTCTACCTCAGCTTCGAAAGTCCTCAGCAGGTCTCCTTCACAGCCAGCATCCCACACCAGGTCTAATGTCTATGGAGATGGTGAGGACGAAGAGCCACTTCCAGCCACTGTGGTCAATGATCGCACACCTTCCTTGTCCAGGCACCCAGCCTCTGGGGGATGGGACACCCTAAGGAGAGGCCCCCAGAGAGGGGCCAGCTTGTACAGGAAGGATCCCATCCCAGAGAATCCCAAAGCTGCTGGAGCAGATGTACATCCTGGGGGCAAACCCCCTCTGTCCTCCAAGGCACGGGACTTTGAACAGAGAACCAACGAGGATGCCCATCAGACATCCCCAGGGTCTGCCAGCCGCCAGTTGTCCCCTGCTCAGCTTCCAGCACCGAGATCACAGCCCTTCCCTGGGTCCACTGTTCCCAGACGAATGACACCTGGCCGCATCTCAGAGGTTTCTAGTTCTCAGAGTAAGAGTGATGAAGCAGGGCGTGATCACTCACACACAATGAACTCCCGTGGGGTGCTCCCCTCGGCTTCCCAGAGTCAGGATGAGGATTCCCAGAGCAGCTATGAGGAAAACAGCACTGAAATTGAGACTCTAGATTCCCGGACTTCCACTCATTCGGCTGGTGCCAAGGATGCCACCCCATCTACTTTCAGACATCGGCAGGTGGGCTCCCAGATAGGGAACAGCGGTATCAGCCCTCAGCCCAGCCACACAGGAGCCTCTGTGAGACCCAGCCGGCCTGGCAGTCCTCATCCCCGGGCCCAGGTTCCTGGCAGGGCTGGGTTCCAGGCCACACCAGTGAGGAAGATCTCCCCTTCAAAGGGTCCCCTGCCTCCTGAATCTCTGCAGTCAGTCTTTACTGAGGAGGAGGAGGAAGAGGAAGAGGAAAAGGAAGGACTTTTAAAAGGCAAGGAAGACTCTCTGTCCACCTTAAAGTGGCCTTCTTCCTCCTCCCACAGGGGCAATAAATATGCGGACAGAAACTTTGACAAAGACAGGGCTGCGGTCGGGCTGGTTCCCCAGGGAGGGAGCCTTGTGCAGGAGCAGAACGCCATCCCTGGAAGGCGACCACCAGGCAGCCCTTCAATAGCCTCACACCCATCTCCTCGATACCAACCTCGAAACCATGCTACTGCAAGTCCCACTGCCAGCACCCACTCCTGGCCAAGGTATACCACCCGTGCCCCTCCCAGCTACTCCTCCACAACGCCCATGCTTTCCTTGCGCCAGCGGATGCAGCGACGGTTCCGGACCCCAGTCTCACGCCAGCCGCCGAGACCCGTGCTCGCACAAGGTAATTGGTTCTCACTTTTAGCCAACCAACCTTTTATATTTCTTTCTAAAAAGTGCTAAGTGGTTGTTTTAAAGCTTATTTTGATTTGTGTTGCTAAACATCCATGATAACCAAGCAGGCATCATTCCCACTTTTTTGTTCAGTTGTGTGTTGGGGACGGGGTTGGTTGCACATGGCCACTGCTTTTAGATGAGTTTGACCCGCAGAGGTTAGAACTGCTGGCTTCAAGTCACATCAGAGATATCTGAGCTGCAGCTGGGCTCCGGACACCGAGAATACTGTCACCCTCCAAACTGCCCCTTCATCTGGGACCATGTGTCCTAGCCAAATGTTATTTTCACTTATTCATCTGGCAAAAGATATTTAAGGAACCAACAGTAATAACACATGTATGTATGTATGTGTGTGTGTATATGTGTGTGTGTGTATGCATTTGTGTGTGTGTGTATTTGGGTATGTATGTGTGCATGTATGTGCTTGTGTGTCTGTGTGTATTTTTGTGTGTGTATGTGTGTATGCATGTGTTTGTGTGTGTGTGTGTGTGTGCGTGTGTGTGTGTGTGTGTATACAGGCTTGTCTTCTGCTTGTTTCATCCTTATCTTTTGCATGTAAAACTTAACCAAGTAATCCCTAGCTCAATTTCAATTATCTTCTGTAGGAATTACTTAGACATTTCTTCACCAAATGGTGTCTACAACCTGCAGAAAGCACGTGGTAAAGTTGTCATAGAGTTGGGTCATGCCCGGAATTCTGTAACAGACAATGGAACATAGGCAACTATGAACTAGGGTCCATGTGAACCCCGAAACTTGCACTTCTCTCGTATGTAACTGAGTTTCTTAGAGCATCTTCAGCAAGTGTGTGAGAATCTGGTGACATTAGCTATTGATTCAGTAATTCATTCATTTGAGATGGTGCCTTACTCTAGTCCCGACTGGCCTGCACTGTATGGCTCCAGTTCCTTTCAAACTTAAAGTGATTCTCTTGTTTTAGCCCCTTGAGTGCTGAGGTGCAGGCATAAATCACCATACCTGGCAGCATGTTAATTTGCTTGATGCACTGTCCCATGTGGGGGTGGTTTTTCTACTAGGATTGCTGTAAGTGACATAGACCTAGATGTAGAGTTTACCAGTGTCTTGTATGTAAAACAACACACTACATGCTTGCTATACAAGGGAAGGCATGAACTAAGTCTGACCAGCCGTGTTGTCAGAAGCCCTGACTCTTCTCCGGAAGTCAGCCTGGGCCTCAGAGGCTACTGGTTGATAATAAAGGCCACCTGTCCTCTAGAGGAGCTGGTGGGAAACAACTCAAGCCTCTCAAGGTGCACTGCAGAGCCCAGCACGCAAGGACAACATCACATGATGACTAAGACCTGGGACAGGGGTCGGCTGGAAATAGCTGTCCTGTTTGGTGGTGGTTAAAACTCTTAGAGATCATCTCCGCTGTTCTCCGCAATTCCACTGCCTTCCTGTTGGTGAAAATGAAGCTAAAGCTACTAAGGTCTTAAACTTCACGTGTAGAGGTACTTAGGAGGCCATTCTCAGTCCCCCAGCATGGCCAGGCTGTCACTTGACTGTCCTGCAGAAATCACAGTGGAAACTTAGCTAATACGTAGATACTACTGGTTGAAATTCTGTTTTGTGTTTGTTGGAAACAAGGTGTTTGCCCTTACAGGTTGATGAAGTCAGTGGTCTAGGAAGGGTGAATTTACTAGGAGCTTCTTTCCCTTTTTCCCTGCTGTGTAGGTTATAATGGACGGCCAAATGTAGAAGAGAACATACCTCCCGGTAGTGTCGGAAAACCAAACAGACAAAAGATTATCAATGGTCCTCAAGGAACAAAGTGGGTAAGGTAAACTTCTTTACATGTTCAAGGTGTTCTTAAATGTTGGGAGGAGAAAACCATGAATACTGTGTGCCAATAAATCAAGCCCCTCTCTTCCCCTCCTCTTCCCTCCCCTCTCCTCTCCTCCTTCTCTCTCATCCTCTCCCCCTCCTCTCTCCTTCCCTCTTTCCCCTCCCCTCTCTTCTCCTCCCCACCCTCCCTTCTCTTCTTGCTTCCCTTCCCTCCCCCTCTCTTACTGATAAATTTTCAGTGTACTCCAGCTGGCCTCAAACTTGAGATCCTCCTGCTTCGTAGCCTCTCTGCCACTGGAGCTGCATAGGTCCCACATCCTGTTCTAGAATTTAACAGCTTAAGAAAGAAGAAAAGTCTCTCATTTCTACTTGGTAAACCGAGGATGGGTCTCATGTTTAGCAAAGGCGATAGCCACTCCACAGTATAAACTTCCTCTTTTTTCTTTCCCATCTTTGGTTTTAACTACCTTAAATATAATTGCTTTCAATGTCTAGAAAGTCTCTGATGATCAGTGAGGCTTGGCCTTGGGAAACCTCACTCCGGGGTTTTTCCATTTGACTTGATTGACAGGAAGATCAGAGACATTCATGATGTCCACCACAGCAGCTACCTGGAACCTAAGAATGGCTTTTCCTACATTTCGCCCTATATTTAATTTCTATTTTTAGCTTAGTGTATAATTAGGTAGTGCATTTATTTTCTGTTGGTTGTCTCAAATTCTTTGTAAAGGAAATAATAAACCCAAACCAAAGAATTAAACAAGTAGACAGTTTTATCAGTTAATCCCTTGAATCTGACCCTTGTCTGACTGAAAATGAAAATATGTCACAGTGCTTTTTGCTTAGAAGATGAATATGCTAAACTCCTGCTCGGTGCTAAGATAAATGTTTAGGGTATTTTGGGGGTTGAGACAGTGGATAGAAAACAGTATTAAGGGCCTAAAAATATTCTTTGGAAGAATGAAAAATCTCACTGTGGAAATTACCAGCCAAGCTTTCTACTTACGATGAAAAGGTTTTAAAAATATAAGTACTGAAGGTGTCTGAAAATTTTCACCATAGTTGGTCTAAGGATGAGAGCCATGACAATTAAACAGAATTGCTTTATAAATGGTTCTGAATTGGAAAGGTCTTGACACTACCCTGGCCAAAAGCTGAATGGCAATCAGAGCTGATTTTGAAAGTGGGATTTATCACAAATGCCTCATTTTTGCTGTCAGAACAGGACATTTTTTGCGTCATGGTTATGTAGAGATGGGTTTCAGATGTTCCTCGGTGTGGGAGCACTGTGGCCTTGTCAGCCCAGTGTGATCTGAAGGCTCACTAACAGACGAGGATGCCTGTGGGTGCAGGACCATACTGAGGAACTCCCAGAAAAGAGCGTGAGATTCTTTCTCAGACGGAAAATAATACATTTCCAAGATTTACAATTTCTTAGAGTAAGAAGTTTCTGTATGCTATATTTTATAATATTTCTATAAGTTAAATTTTTTAATTCAATAATCAAAATTTTATTTTTAACACAGCACAATGAAAACATTTTATATTTTAAAGCAACTAGTAGTATTCATTCATTCATTAAATACAAGGAATACAAGAAAAAGGAAGTAAGCATTCTTTACTCCAAACTGCTTCTCAGAAGTGACCTCTTGGAGATATTTTGGTGGATATCTTTCCAAAACAAGTGTCTTTGACATTTTCAGGGTTATGTATAAAGTACATTGCTTTTACAAAATTATCAGTCCCGTTACCTGGATATGCGCAAAGCTAGGTCACTATATACAAGACTCCGTATTCCTCTATTGGCTGCTGCTGGGCCATTATTTATTTAAGTTCATCTGACAGTTGGTGGATTCTGAGTTTGGCTCCTGTTTACAATGTACCAAATGGCTCAAAATACTTGAAATGTCTTTTGCATATTTGGGAAGCAGAACAGCTTCCATTCCATACAGGTAAGCAGCAATACAAGGCCAACAATACGATACAAGATGTGACTGCATCTGACTTTGCAGACACTGCAAGTGATAGCGACAAGGGGGCTTCCCTCTCACTTCCCTTCTTCTTTTCTGTGGATGCTCACATGTCTGGACAGACAGCTGGAGATATGAACATTTGGGCATCCCCAGCACCCCTTCACCTGTGTTGTCTTGGTTTAGGTTGTGGACCTGGATCGTGGCTTGGTCTTCAATGCTGAAGGGAGATACCTCCAAGACTCACACGGCAATCCTCTCCGGGTGAGGCTCGGGGGAGATGGTCGCACCATCGTGGGTGAGTGAGCTGTGGGGTAGCTTTGGTTTTCTCCGCACCCCCTATTTCTAATGGTTTCCGTGGTCTCATTGCTCTTAGCCATGTGGGAAGAAGGTTCCCAAATGGGGCCAGAGCCAGCTTTTTTCTCATGGCTTTAGCCTCCCTGTTTCTTCAGTCTGCCCCTCTGGAAGTGTTCTCTAATTGTTCTTGAACTGGCCATTTAGAACTCAGGTCAGAAAAGGATAGTCCACAGGCTGTAATGCCTGATTGGGAAGACGGTGAGAATAGTTCTTACATTTTAAAATAACTCTTTCCCCTGTCCCCAAAAGAAAAATGTCTGTGGCATATGATAAAATGATATGAAATTCACATTTCAGTGTCCATACGCGAAAGCTAAGTTGGAATATAGGAACACTTACTTATGTATCATCTAGTTCATCACTTATGTATTGTTTAGGCTTAGTCTGCTGAGTGTTTTGCTCTACAAGGGCTGAGTTGAATAGCTCCACCTGGCCCAGAAAGCTTAAAAGACTTACTCTCTGGACTTATGTGGAAATGTTTGCGGTCCCCAGCCCAAACTAACATGTTTTCTCCACTAGGGGTAGAGAGAGCGAGCAAAGGACCACTTCCCTTAACAGACAGTTTTCTCTGGATATGGCGCACACCGACTCAAGAGTTTATGTAGTTCTATAGCAGGAATGATGGACAGTCTCCTAAGTCCATCTCTCTGCAGAGCGACAGATATCACCACCTCAGACACACGCCATTGCTCCTGTCTTTTGCTGATTAAAGTATAGGCGTGCATACGCTTTGAGAAGATGCTCTCTCATTGTGTTTCCTGTTCCCTGAACTGTTTCAACTTGTGCTTATCTCTTGCTTGGTTTTATTTCAGATCTGGGAGGAACTCCTATGGTGAGTCCCGACGGCCTCCCCCTCTTTGGGCAGGGGAGACATGGCAAACCTTTGGCCAGTGCCCAGGATAAACCCATCCTGAGTCTCGGAGGGAAGCCCCTGGTGGGTTTGGAGGTCATCAGAACAACCACTCCTCCTCCTACCACCACCATGCCACCAACCACGACGACCACCACTGTGCCTACCACCACAACCCTTCAACCCCAAACCACCACCACCCGCCGGACCACCACCCGCCAGGCCACCACCACTACCACGCGCCGCACGACCACCACTAGGCGTCCCACAACTACAATCCGAGCTACCCGGAGGACAACCACCACCACCGCCACCACCACTCCGGAACCTACCACCCTTTCTCCTACCTGTCCCCCTGGGACTGTGGAACAACAGGATGAAGCTGGCAACCTTATCATGGGCACAAATGGGATCCCGGAGTGCTACCCCGAGGAAGGTAACCAGCTTTGTTCTAATGTAGAAAGCTTACTTGACAGAGGCAGGTCTCAGAGCCTGCCAGAAAGGGGTGAGTACTGGGCAGAGCAGATTCGCAGCCTGGCAGAGGCATCTGGAATCCCAGGGCCTTTGTTTATCAACACTTTTTACAGTCAGGGTCGTCAGATTCAGGAACTAAGAAGTACAGTGTGAGATACTCTGTGTCACACACATTTGTACATGTGTGCATTTGTTGTTCATCCAAAACCTCAGGGTGTCTTTTGTTTATCTGACAGCTGAAACTTGGTGTTATTGGTTTGGGCTATGTTTCCCTAGGAGCGTGCTTCTGTAAGTTGGTGTGTGTGTGTGTGTGTATGTGTGTGTGTGTGTGTGTGTGTGTGTGTGTGTGTGTGAGAGAGAGAGAGAGAGAGAGAGAGAGGGAAAGTTTGGTAGGTTGAGTCTGTGATCATGTGAGTTATCAGGTCTGATGGGTTCTGACTGTGAGGCCCATTAGATAACAGCCTCCCTGTGAGCACCAGAAAAATCAACACTGCGTCGGGCAGTGAAACTCTCGGTGATCAGCCTTCCCTTTGGAAAACGCCAGTCTCAAGTACTCTCAAGTCTCCTGAGAGTACAGGGTTTCCATCAGAAGACCACACCACTTCTGCTTTTTGCCATGGTTGGTTTGGGTTCTCTGGTCACTCCTGGCATCTGTCTGTCTTCCCACTGAAGAACTGCAGCTGTGAAGATCCAGGTCACGGCACATCAGCCTCTTCTCGGGCATCCGACGCAGAGGGGACAGACACACGCTCTTCCCTTGGGTCGGAAAGACACACCTAGCCAGTAAAACCTGAATTTTTTTTAAGTCTGATACAGTGAAGACCCTTCCTCTCAGGATGTGTTTGCAAGCCAGGAATTCTCACAGAGCGTTGCTGCCTGTGGTGGGCCCTGAGGAATCTGAGCATGAACACCGTGCTCAGAATGAGGATCCACTCCCAAGGCATTGTTTGTGTGGAGAGGTGCAAAATTAATGGAAAACTGGACACAGCTTCAAAGTCCACAGTCGAGAGCAAAGAAACGCAAACCAAGGGAGAGAGCCACTGGGGAGGGAACTCTTACGCTGTTCACTCAGTGAGTACACATCTGAATTTCCTTTTTTTAGCGTTATTTATGGGAGGGGTCCTGGGTACACGTGTGTGGAGGTGAGAGTTCTCTCCTTCCACCGCGTGAGTTCCAGAGACGGAGCTCGAGTCACCAGGCTTGGTGGCAAGTGCCTTTGCCTGCTGAGCTGTCTCACTGGCCCCTGGGTTTACCTTTAACTTCTTAGTATTAAAGTGGTTTCCTCCTGCTGCATACATTAATGTGTTTATCTCTGAAGGTGGACATGTAACTATAGATGATTGCTTAGTAACAGGCTATAAACAAAAGAATGCTTGCCTAGGATTTGACTTCCATCACTGCCATTTGACATTTTACTTTGCCTGCAGTTTAAAGGCCCTGTAGCATGCTATTTCATTTACATTGTTCTATCCCAGACTTTAATTTGGTGTGAAATCCAGTAGATTTTCTTAGCATCTGTGCCAATGCTTTTCCTTGCCAATTCCAATGCACAGTGCACATGTTGCTTGTAACCCTTCTTCTAACTCCTTGTTCCAACCCAAAGACTAATGGACCCCTAGGCAGCATTTTGAAATCAAGTACAAATTTCACAAAGTTTTGTGGGAAAAAAAACTAAGCTTGGTGAGAGTGGCCATCCCCTGCCGTTTTTAGCGGACTGTGTGTTACTTTTAAAATCCTTCAGTGAGATCTGCTTTCTATACCAGCGGATGCTAAAACTTGCATGCTCTCTTCCTTGCTTTGATTCTAACCATAGCTATTTAATATTTTAATTTAAAACCCTCTCACTGAGGTGTGGTTGACATATAAAAAGCCATGCATGTGAGTCTGAAGAGTTTGGAGCGAAGGCTTGTGCACACATCTGGTCATCGAGACCACAGACATGTTCATCACCCCTCAGAGACCGCCCCCTTATTGTTAGATTTAGTCTTTTATCTTTTTACCACCATTTCATGTCTTGGAGTTGCTCTTGTCTGTGTCACTATGCTGGTCCATACCTAGCATGCACAGATCATTGCTTTCTGAGCTGCTAGCAGTGGGCGCCAATGGCTGACTGTGTACGCGCTTCTGCTTTAACGTGTCATTTTCAAATATGATCATGAGCCAGACACAGTGCTTGCTTCCCTCTTGGATAGGAACTTAGCTTCAAAGATGGCTGGAGATTTGAAAATAGCAGAGTCAGCTGCCTCTAGAAGAGCCAGCTCACCAACCTGTCACACACACCTTCTTGTCGACTGAACACTTTGTAACAGTCTATGCTCTGCAGTCACAGCAATGACACGGAGCAGAGCAGGTCCCAGGCAGGCCCAGCATCAGAGGAAGGAGGCTGTTTCTTGGCTCCCATACAGAACCCACAGAAACAGCTGGGGCTCACCCGTGCCCTAACTTTGCTTTCACCTTCACGTTCCCTTCACATCGTCTCCTTTCCAGTGCTAAGTAGAGTTCCATCCTGAACACACACTCACTCTGGATACCCTGTGGTTCTCAGTACACAGCTACAATCAGCCAGACACCATCCTGGCTGCTGGTGCACTCCCCAGCCTAGGAACCTGAGCGTTTATTGCTGCCATGGTTATGACTTGGAATCTGCACTGCTGGCAGTGAAGAATACCACTGAGGGGCTTTTCCAAACCCCTCTCCCCACCTCGCTTCAGCTGACCACTGGACATTCTATTCCATTTGTAAAGTCCTGGGGTTTTGTTTCAGCTCTCCAGCTTTTTAAGCATCTTTTCAAACATCCAAGTCTTGGCTCCCTTGGTGAAATCAGGCCTCCTCCTCTTTTCCTTTGAAAACGGCTCTCAAGAAATGTTCTAGGAATAACCTCGGGCCATTCAGTCATGCCAGCAACTCTGTTATTTATGGATACTTCCTCTGTGTTATGAATGCTTTACTTCCCCCTAGCCAGGGATGCACAGCACATGCTTGTTTGCTGAATGCTATTCCATTTATTCCTCTCCATTTACACATATACACACACCCTTGCACACACATACACATTCATACACACACATCCATGCACATACACACATGAACACACACACACACATCTACATATCCATGCACACACATCCATGAAAACACACACACACACACACACACACACACACACACAAAGAATAACTTTTTGTTTTTTAGCTAGAATTGAATTCTCTGCTCAGTAATGAACTCCAGAGCTGAGATAATAGAATCTGTCATGTCTCTAACTTCCCAGGGTACCACATTATCATCCTTAGGCATCTAAATATCTTAGGATGGAGGTAATTCTGGGTTTTCTAGATGGGAAGTAAAAGTCAGCGATCTTTGTTCTCCAGGTTCTTTCTGCAGTAGATTGGGTGAGAATGCACATATCTGGAGATGCTCTGAGCCAACGGAACAGTCAAGAATTTGTAATGTGACCTCGTTACATGTTGGAGAGACACGTCCATCATTTTAGAAAACAGCTCCAGCCGGCCGCGCTCACCCTCCTGACGGAGAGGAGAATAATCAGAACGCAGTTGCATTGGAGCCACCATCCCATGTGGGAATGCTCCCGAGGCCCCACGCTGGCGTCTACTTCCTCTCTATATACTTTTACAGAGAACAAACCTTTAAAAAGTCATTTTAATGTCTCTGGAGCCGAGGCCCTAATTCCTTGGAGACAGAGTGCTTTCATTATTTTCTTAAGATACTGAAAAGACTCGGGTACACAACATGTCGATGACTGGAAGCCACTGTTGTATGAAGATCAAACTTTGACAGCAGTTCTGGATTGGGTTATAGAACACCCAATTTTACAGAGTTCCAGGTGATCCCGTATGGCAGAGTTGGGGAGTCATCAGTTCTGATGATAAGTGGATGTACAGTTATGACACAGAGAAGATACACTTACTTGGAGAGAAGATGGTGGTAACTCAGAAATAAACTGATTTTATTTGGTTCTAGAAATGTATTCAATTACTTGGTGGAATGTTCACTTATGCCAGAGGCCTATGTTGATCATCATAAGAATCTAAGTTAGCACCCATGACCTTCTGTGAGGGACCGGCCATCTCAGCAGCTCCGGGCATCGCCATGGATACGGGAATCCACAAAGAGAGCTCTGCGTCTCCCTGTTCATGTTTGTCCTGGGATAGTAAAAAAATGCACATTTTTGCTTATTTTTTTTTAAAAAAACCTGGAGACGTAATGAAAATGGAATGGAAATGATCAGAGAGTAAAATCACACCGTGCTCCTAAAAGCTAAAGGAAAAAGATGGCGGTCAGGAACCAGCGGCGGCAAGATAAACCCAAACTTCGGTCACCATGAACTTGAAAACAAGTGTGAATTGACTCAGAAGTGATTCTGTTTTGGATACAGGCATGTTGATGTTGACCTAGCCTGTAGATAACGTGGTGTGTGTGTGTGTGTGTGTGTGTGTGTGTGTGGTATATAAAATCATGCTTGGAATTTTAGAATTTTTTCACAGGATGACCACCCCTCCCCGAAGGGTGGATGATCTGGAACTGGCCTTATTAACATTCACTATAAGCACAGGTTGCCACCCTAAGGTGATGTTCAAGGATGCTGGAGTCTGCCTTGAGCAGCTGAGGGTAGCTCTGAGTGTCCTGCTGCAGTGTTCAGAAGATGCTGGGCAGGCGGCGGCAGAGTGCCCCTGCCCTCCACTGTAGAAGCTCCCTTTGGCACTGTCTTGCTCACCATGTTATAGACTGAAACACTGCTGTCTAAGTTAGGTCTGACGGCTAAAAAAAAATGCCAAATTGATGCACATGGTTTCCTGGGGATGGGAGTATATATACTTGTTCCCTTCCATTTCCCTGTGAAAACAACACGGGTTTGCAGACAGCTGGATTGGCTAGTTCCATGTCTGAAAAGGAGAGGAGTCCATAAGGCATCTGGTAGGCACTGCTTCTTCCTCCTGTCATCCCGTCACTGCGTTCAAGGGGACGTCGTGTTCAGAGTGTTCTGTGCTACAGCTGCGGGCTTCAGATTGTAGGGGGCGGGGTTCCCTTGAGTTGGATGATAGAACGATTTTTGGATTCAAGACTTTCCCACCATAGCGATTGCTCTGTAGACCCGGGTGGGGATAACGCCACTGCACACCATCTAAGCTGCTTCAGACTGAGCTGCCCAGATAATGCACACACAAAAAAAGCCTTTTTATTTCCTCAAATCATCCACCTGTCTTGAGTCAAGTTTGTTTGCCAGCCCAGTCTTTACTTCACAACTGGAATTCTAATACTAGTTCTCATAATTAAATTTATAATTTTAAAGTGAATTTTAAATGGAAGACATTAAAAAAACCTCATCTACAATTCTATAAATCACATTGAAGTAAAATTCTGTCATCCTAAGGTGTCTAGTGGTTAGCAATATCTTTTCTTTTTGAGAGAGAGAGAGAGCTTTGGAGCCTGCCCTGGAACTAGCTCTTGTAGACCAGGCTGGCCTTGAACTCACAGAGATCTGCCTGCCTCTGCCTCCCGAGTTCTGGGATTAAAAGCATGTGCCACCACTGCCCAGCACAGTTAGTAATATCTTAACAAGAAATCTAGTCATTGACATAACATATTCAAAGTTCATATGCAAGTTAAGGAACCCAATGAGTATCAATTTCCTGAGTTGGGTAGTAAAGCATCAGCAGGCAGGAAAGACAGACGAGAAAGAATGATGTAAGACAACACAGGTCTTTACATTGGGAAGTAGGGCTACAGACGTGTGGGGGGGGAGGTCTCTGTAAAACCCCGAACCTGTCATCTGCTTACAAGTGGGGGAAGTTTTAGGGTACAAAGGGAGGGCAGGGAAGGAGGCTGAAGCATTTCCCTTTCCGGCTCACAGTCAGCCATTGCTAGGGGGAACCCCTGAGCAGTCAGTCAATGCCAGGTGATTGACAGATGCCTCTCCTAGCGATTACTAGGGTCCCCCAAGGCAAGGAGGGCAGGGGCTAGGGAAGCAAGTTACTTAACTTCTAAGAACCTAATTACTACAGTTGCAACAATCGTCACATTCCAACCAAAACGGGAGAGCCTTACAGCAGGGCATGGCCCTGACTGACACAGGAAAGTCAGGTAGTGCAGTCTGTCAAGCGAGAGGCAAACAGAGCCGGGAAATCACCTCATTCTAGAATATTCTAATGGCAAGACAGAAGGAGGAGGGAGAATAAAGGCAGATAACTTGAGCTCACTGGGGCAGGGATTTTTGTCACAGGGCAGAGCCTCCCTCTCCGCACCCATCTCTAAGCATATGTGCCAAGCTTGTGCCAGGGGCATGGCAGGCTTCCCTCCAGGTCTAGAGCAATTCAGTTGGGTGGGCAGAAGGGTCTAGGAATGAAGAGCTGGGTGTTTGCTCCTGAGCAAAGGGTATTGGATTGCCTTTCTCTGGTCTAAAAGAGGGGAGGCCTGGCTTCCTGTCTGGGATTCCGATGATCTTCCTTCTGCTGAAGTGAGGAGACGCTGGTACTGGCGGCAACTTGTTTCTGAGACCCACTCAGGATGAATGAGTCGTCATCCTCAGGGCCAGGATTCTGAGACAGTGCTGAGAAGAGCCATGGGCCCGTGATGATCTGTCCTCTTTCCTCTTCCTCCCTAGACGACTTCTCAGGCCTGGAGACTGACACAGCATCACCCACAGACGAGGACTACGTTGTGTATGATGACGGTATGGAGCGGATCCCAAAACTCACACTTCTTTTCCCAACCACAAGATCCTATTTAGTTAAAAGTATTTGATCCTGATTGCATTTTCCTCTGGGACAGTGGCGGTAACTACCCTCCTCCCCTTCTGAGTCGCTCTCAAATTCGTAGTTAAGCTGAAGGAAAACAGCAAACCTGAGGAGCTGGCACGGCTTCTAAACAAGTCCCTTCCAAGCCCCTTGCCATGAAGCAATCCTGGTGCTGCCACTGCCCAGACTTCCCCTTCATCGCATCTTTATTGGCAAGACCACGTGGTTTAAATCAGCATGGAGCCTCTTTCCTTCCTCACTCTTTTATTTCCTAACTAAGTGACATAGATGCAGCCACAATGTGTTGATTTCTTTTCACAGAACTTTTCAAATGGTTTAGTTCAATACTGCAAAATGTCCCTGACCCACCTACAGCAGCCCCTTAAGAAATTGCACCTGCTCTTGGTCGTTACTCTTAGGGCCCTGGGGTTGTCTTGTCTCTGCTATTGAGAAGTTTACTTTGGAAACTTGCCCACCAGGTGTGGTTCTTTGCCATCCAAACTCAGGATATGCTTCCTCTCATCCGCTGGTGTCAGGTGTCCTAGTCACAATCCCGTGAATAATGTTGCCTCTGATGCTTTGTTCATTCATAATTAAGTTAGACTTTGATGCTTTGTTCATTCATCATTAAGTTAGATGCGGTGGCTTAATCCACTGCAGTTTCCAAATAAGGATTGATCTGAAAGGAAAACATCAGGGGTTAGGAAGCCCAGAAAGATTTTTCAGTACTTTGGGAAATACTCTCTGTCTTTCTTACTATCTTTGAGCAGTTGGAGGGGATCCATTTTATTTTACTTTTTAAATATTAAAAGATTGGTTCTTTTTAGAGCATTAATCCCAGTCTCCTCCCTGAAAAATTCTGTACCTAGATTTTTTAAAAGATTTTTTTCATTTTTTAAAGTTTATGTGTATGTGTTATATCTGAGTGTGTGTGTGTGTGTGTGTGTGTGTGTGTGTGTGTATACACTACATGAGTGCAGTGCCTCTGGAGGCCAGGAGAGAGTGCTGGATCCCTTGAAGCTGGAGTTACAGGCAGTTGTGAGCTGCCTGATACAGGTGCTGGGAACCAAACCTGAGTCTTCTGCAAGAGCCGTCCATCTCTCCAACACCAACGGATTTTTTTATTATTATTTCAACCTATTTTCTGATGTGATTTTTAAATTTATTTGTATTATACTTATTCAATAATTATTCATGTGCACATATGTGTATTGTATGAGTATATAAGGACCACATGAGTGCAGGTGCATATGGAGGCCAAAGGATGTCAGGTCCCCTGGAACTGGAGGTGCTAAAGGTTGTGAGCCACCTGCTAAGGGTGCTGGGAACTGAATCCAGGTCCTGCTTAGGCAGTAAGTGAGACATTGACACATCTCTCTCACCCTGGTGTGATCTTTAATGTCCTTAAAAGGAGAAGAAATTCAGGTAAGGACTAGACCTGGGCATGAGCACAGTCTGGGAATTTCTGAAGGTCTCTAGTTTCTGTTCCCCAAACTTCATTTCTGTGGGTATTTCTGTTCTTTTGTTCTCTCTCTCTCTCTCTCTCTCTCTCTCTCTCTCTCTCTCTGTCTCTCTCTTTTAATATGCAGCTGCATATAGCGGTTGTTCAGAGTGTATGTGTGTGTCTGTGTGTGCAGGAGGAGAATATGTGTGTATGTGTGTTGTGTGGGGAGGTGTCTTTGTGTGTGGTGAGTGTAATATTATATATTACAGTTGTGTGTATGCCTATATGTAACATCTGCATATTTGCATGTTGTGTGTGTATATCTGTGTATATGTATGGTATATGTGCTGTCTATGTGTGTGGGTGTAGTATAGCAATACATGTGGTGTGTGATACATATATATTCATGTGTATATATGTAAAAGTAAGTATGTGTGTATTAGTGTATGGTACAGGGGATAGTCTGGAATGGTGTGGTTGGGTGTGTTGTTTGTGTGTGTGTATTTGTGTGGGTTTACAGTTGAATCTTAAATATCCTTAGATTGTAACCAGTGTCACTTTTGGCAGCACCCTATTACAAAGACTGTATATCTTTTCAGATTATGGATCTGAGACCACGAGGACCCCGACCACCATCACACCCTCGACCACTGCTGCCACACCGAAGGTCATCCCAGAGCAAGGCACTGTTAGCTCCTTCCCAGAGCAAGAATTCGATCTGGCTGGAAAGAAACGATTTGTGGGTGAATGTCACTTTCTTAATCGGAGACGTTGGTTTTAACTTTTGACTTTGAAGGCAGCGTAACTAAGCCTTGGCCTGGCTAAGGTGGTATATTTTAAAAAAATGCTTCCCTGGGGTAAAATTTCCAGTTGAGGTAATTTAGTGAGCTCATTTTACTTAGATACACATTACTTTGCAAAAGTCTGCACTAACCAGAGACCTGTGAGTGCTCAACAGAGGACTTCAGCAAGTGTATACCTATGAATATGCCAGCTCACGTGCCTGCACATGGGCACACAGAAGCCAGAGGACGCCCAATGTCTTCCTCCATCACACTCTACTTTGATCCCTTGAGACAGAGGCAGAATCTCATTGAATCAGAGGCTCAGTATTTCAATTAGGCTGGCTGGCCAGGGAGACTGCAGGATCTGTCTGTCTCCAGCACCCAATACCTGGATTACAGAATGCACAGCTATGCCCAGTTTTTAATGTGGGCACTGGGGATCCAAACTCAGGTCCTCATGCTTGTAAAGCACACCTTCATACCCATGGATCCATCTTCCCTGTCCTGTGGCCAGTCTTCTGAAGATGGCTGGACTTTAAGCAGCACAGTTTCCTAAATTCTGAACAGTGCAGCTTGGTGAATGCTGTCACTAGCGGTGACAATACGGCAGAGCCAAAACTCCCTGTCGGCAGTTACCGTCTCCAACTTCATCAGCCTCATAGAATTGGGATCTGGAAATTCTTTTCTCTCCACTTCTTTCTCAGCAATTAAAACAATTTCAATGGAAGATTCTACGCAGCTGAACTCTGCTCTAGTCCCTTCCCAAGCCATCTTTTCCCATGCCCTTGATGAACTGCATTAATGAGACAGTTGGATTAATACGTTACTGAGTGGAGACAAGCAGCAGCCTAGATTAACACCACACTTTTCGGTTTCCAAAACAAATGTCCTGCCATGAGCAGAGAAGAAGTCTTGCCAGCCAAGAGGCAGTGACTGGGCGTCTCACCATGCAAGGGAAAGAGCAAACCCATTAGGCTGAGGCAGCATTCCTGGGGCTAAAGCCAGTGTTTGCCTGGTGTTCCAGCAGCCTGGAGAGTCCACTAAGCTCTCACTTCCCCTGCTGTAGCACAGCTAAGAGGGAAAGGGGCATCTAGTGGTGTCATTAGCCCTTCCGCAGATTGCTTCTAAAAACTAAGACACCTTCAGAAATTTCTAGTCATTTCCGTTCAGATTACTTGGGGGTCTTGGGTATATAAAGCCTTAATGTCAATCCCTTGGCATTCTTAACTTCTCTTAGAACATAGTCAGAGATATGTGGGCTAGTAGCAGAGAGAGCCTGTTTGTCCCTGGCTCGTGAGCATATTCTCATACCAGGAGCCTCAGCTGTGATGGGGTACCAAGCTATGACTGGCATATTCCCAGTCTCCTGTAGCCCCTGTAATCATGTGGGCAGGAAGGGTTTCAACATGCCATAAATGTGAGAGCAGGAAACTAAGCAATAGTGCTGCAGAGGGCCGCTTGAACCTTGGCATTGCACCCAAATGTCCGAGAGGGTTGTGAGGTTCACACAGCTCTGCAGGAGGCCACCTAAGGGAAAAGCTTGAAGCTGCCATATGGTTCTCTGGTCTTAAGATGGCTGAGGGAACGAAATACGATGAGGGAGACTAGCTAACTGACTCACAATTTCCAAATTTGAGGGCATAAGAATGCCGGAGGCTTATATTACATCAAATTGTAGTCAGAGGACCTTTCTAAATCACTTTGAGGTTGTAGTCATCAGTGTTGATGGGGCAACGAGACCTTTTTGTAACAATCAGATTTCGAGCTTTATGAGTGGCAGGGATTGCTCTTTGATTCTGCTTATGTATATGTGTGTATGTGTGCTTATTTGTATGGGTGTGGGCACATGTGTGTAGAGGACAGAGATTGGTGTTGGGTGTCTTTCTTGCTCACTCTTCACGATATCTATTAAGGCAATATTGTTTGTTGAACCCAAAGCTTGCCAATTATCACAGTCTAGCTAGCGCCAGCTTACCACAGGGGTCCCTTGTCTCAGCCTCTCAAGTATTGGATTATGGATGGTGGCCATGCCTGTTCCACCGTCACATGGATGCTAAGGGTTGAAACTAGGCCCTTACTCTGGAGCAGCATGTGCTTTACCCACAGGGCCGTCTCCACAGCCACAGGATGTGCTCTTGAATTAGCATCAGGTGTCTCTGGAGTCTTGGCAGGGAAAGGCTAAGCTGTGGATCTGATTCCAAGGAACACATGCTATGATTCTGTTCTCCCCCATCAACCCCCAACACCACCAACAAACCAACTCCAACTGGACATCTCTGTCTTTTCCAGCTCCTTATGTGACATACCTCAGTAAGGACCCAGCGGCCCCGTGCTCCCTGACGGATGCTCTGGATCACTTCCAAGTGGAGAGCCTGGATGAACTCATTCCAAACGACCTGACGAAGAGTGACCTGCCTCCTCAGCATGCTCCCCGCAACATCACTGTGGTTGCCATGGAAGGCTGCCACTCATTTGTCATTGTGGACTGGAACAAAGCCATCCCTGGGGACGTGGTGACAGGTGTGTCCTAGGCAGATGCTCAGCGTTCCCACAGGTCTGTTCGAGAGAGGAGAGGCGAATGGGTGGATGCACAAAGGGGCAGGTAAAGTGGAGAAGACGGACATCATTTTCAGTGGCACAGGGAGCACAGGTAAGTAGGAGACTTACCTGTGAGTAGTAAAGAACACAGACTGGAAGCCAGAGTCCTGAATTATAATTCCAGGTTGGTTTGTATGACCTTGAGCTGATAATACGTCATCTCGCTGGGACTTGTTTCCTTACAGGAAAAATAAATATCATTCTATCTTTAACCTATTATCCTGAAAATAGTCACACAAACTACTCATTAGCCGAAACCCTGTCAGAGACGATGATGAAAACCTTTCTATCAAATTATTACTGAGTGTTTCCTTCTTCTGTGCTGCTGGCTGCTCCCACGACAGCCTGGGTGCTTCCCAATTCCTTTTGTGGGCATTGGGAAAAGTGGAACAACCCTAAGCATCTTGAGGCTCTTCTCTGGCTCTTGGCCTGTGAGGTCCCTATGAGTTTCTGTGACCCTGCCAAGATGGCAGTGGAGAACGAGTCTGTTGGACTGAGTTCCCACAGAAAGAGAATTGATGAGCTCTGTGAACAGTCTCCTCCTTTGTGGGTGATTCTTCCCAGGCCTGTGAGCTGTGTACGAGGAAGGCACACATGTCGGCTGTGAATGTGTCTCTCAATGGCACGGGTAGTGTCAGAGGTTAGAGATCAACATTGTTCATCCCAAGTGTCATGTGTGTAATTCTACACTGCCAGTGATTTTGCTGTAGGACCCCCACATCGTCTTTTAAGGACAATGTTCAAGAATATTCAAAGTTTACAGAAATTGTACAGGGGCCCAAGAGCCAGGGTAAGGGACCAGGAAATACAGTCCTCATGCATCCTGCCAGATGTGGGGCAAGTGTCAGTGAGGAGGGACCTGAGTCTTTGGCATAACTGATGGATGCTCATTTCTTGGTGTGTGCCAAGTGAGACCCTCCCTCCCTCCTTCCCTCCCTCCGTCCCTCCCTTCCTCTCCCTTCCTTCCTCTCTCTCCCCTCTCCCTCTCTCTCTTTCTCTCTCTCCTCCCCCCGTCTCTCATGTGTGTGAGGTGTTTGTGCACATGTGTGTAGGTACATGTGTTTTGTATGTAGGGAAGCCAGAGGAGGATGCTAAATGCCTGGATCTATCACTTTCCACCATATTCTCTCGAGACAGGAACTGAACATGGAGCTAGCTAGGGTGGTGACCACAAATTCCTCAATCTTCCTGTGTCCCCTCTCTGCACCAGGAATGGGGTTATAGGAGGCATGTGCCCACACTCCGCCCCAGCAATGGGGTTACAGGAAGGCATGTGCCCACACTCTGCCCAGC